AAGGCCAATCGAAGAGTAAGGTTTTGAGTCGTTCGAAGGAAGTAACTCAGAGTCAATCGAAGGGCAAGACTTGAGGGCATTCCAAGGTGAAACATGTCAAGGTTCACTCAACATTTCAAAATGGCATGGATAATCCAAAAAAGGAAATCCTTTAATTTGTATGATTTTTCCTTCAAAGTCTGGTAAATGGTTGTCCCTTGCCATTTCCATTCACCTCAAACTCCTATAAGTAAAGGCCTAAGAAGATTTCAAAGGGCGGAGAAAAAACGATACAAATATCAAAAACACTATTGCCACTCTCACGCCACCAGCCAAATGCTGCATCACACACAATACTTACTAACAATCGAAGCTGCAGATACATTGCCAAACGAAGGCCTTTTTTCCACACACGCATGTTGCCCCACAAGAGCTCCACAAAACTTCCAAAGTTCCAACAAGGTTTCCAGAATCTAAGCACCCCACTGGTAACGAACCTTCGATCTCAATTTCATTTCCTATGTAACTTAATTTCGACTGTATACTCATGATGCATGATTGTTAATATGTTACATGTAAAGTCTGAAGTAACAGGATACCATTACTAGGGCATGTGAAATGGATTCCTTCGAATCTCAAATCTAGCTCAGATGGTGAAGGAATATGGGCAATCGAAAAGTCCTGGGTTCGATACCCAGGCCTCACAATTTTATTTTTCTAACTATTATTCTGCAGATCCAGTACTAGCAGGTCCTATGCACGCTCACCATACACCATCGATTCCATGCCATCCAATGCATATTTGATCTGGATCTAACGCCCTGAGCATACAGCCTCATCATGGGCTCTCCTGGGGACCTCCCTACTGAATCTAAGGGCATATTTGAGATCCTCTCACTTGGGCCCAGCGAATTTCACTTCATACCCCTCTATTTCTTTTGCCAATAGGCCAATTTATATTTTGTTTTATCTTTATTATTTACTTCTTTTAGTTTTTGTTTTATTTCGTTTAATCAAAAATCAAATAAAACCACAAAAAAAACATTAGGTTAGTATTTTTTAATTAAATTAATTAATTAAATTAATTAATTAATTAAACCTTTTCTTTAAATTAAAATTAAGTAGACTTAGGCTTTGCTTTCTTTCATAAATAAAAACAACCAAAAGATTTTTATTTCTTAGGTTTTTTAGACGTTATTTTCAATTTTGCGTGCGTTTATTGCTTTGTCACTATTTTTATATTATTGTACCTGCTCAGGGGATGTAATAGAAATTAACTAGGACTATTTACTGCTTTTCTTTATTTTTTCCAAGCTTTGGACATGTAATTAATCCCCAAAGCCATGAAATAGCGTGGGATTTACATTTCCGCACTTTTAATTCTTGTACATATATTAACTGCTTAGGTGTATGATAATAGGATTGCATGACAAGAGCCTAATAATCAAACGTTAGCAAACCTAATAACAAAGATAAATGAACTGAACTGAATCACTTGCACATATACACCTCTAGGGTAAGCCCACTTTGGTTGCTTTTCGGAAAGTAAAACAGTCATGTCCCTCGAGAATGGAGACGCTTTAGCAAAGACCCGTAAATCAAAAGATCATAGTCCCTCGATGATCCTACAGTGTTGCCTTCCGGTAAATGATCTAGTCTCTTAAAATGAAATTGCTAAAGTGTCTTCATATGTTTCCTTTATGACTGCACGTCTCTTCGACTGTCCCTTAAACATCCAACGATAGAGCTACCTACTCACTCATAGTAGGATAACATTGTCTAAAGGATAGGAGGAAAAAACAAATCTTTTCGAGTGTAAGTAGATAGTTCCTAGATGCTTGCTCAAAACAAACTTTTGCACTTACATAAAAACATTTCAAAAACACTTTAAAAAAACGCTTTATCAACACTCTTGAGAACTGATACAAGAGTTATCATAAAGAAAATCGCCGCACTAAGTCATTTTCAAACTACTTTTTCAAAACACAAATCACAAGGTATATCAAAAATGAGCTAAGCATCTAAGAGCCCGTAGAAAGCTACGGACGGAAAGGGTGTTAACACCTTCCCTTCCCATAATCTACCACCCTTACTCAGAAATAATCTTGAAAGGTCTTTTTCTGTTCTTTTCACTTTTTCCTTTGTTAGATAAAAGAAAATTCGGTGGCGACTCTTGCTTACCGCAACATTTGCGAACACAAATGGAAAACCAGTATAACACTCGGTTCTGCCACCGTATCATAATTTGCAATGAATGTGTTGGGTGCAGAATAAGAAAGAGTTGGCCTTGTTTGAGCAGCTGGAGGTCGTGTCCACACATTAGCAGGAAAATGGCCATAAGGCACCTTAGAAAACTGCCAAGGAGCTGCATGATAGGGATTGCCACTGTAAGAGGGAGGCTGAAAGTTCTGATTAAACTTATGCCAGCAATTTAAAGCTGAGTGTCCAACTTTGAAGCAAACTTGACACTGAACTGCAGAGTTTCTTCCACCTGAACCTTTGCCACGACCACCCTTGTTTGATCAGCCACCTCTGAAACTGGAATATTCAGGCTCACCACAGGAGGGAGCTACTTGTGAGTGAGTAGAATCATTGCTTCCAGATTGAGGATTTTCAGGGGAAGCAACTTAAGGTGAAACATGTGTAAGATTGAGAGATCCAAGATCTAGCACAATAGACTTCTTGAACCTGTTCAGCCTCAATTCATGTGCAATTAAGAAAATTTCCACCTCATCCAAATCCATATCACCAAACTTACTCTCAACAACAGAAACAACAGGAGCATATTCACTAGGAAGCCCCTCAAGAATCACATCAATGTGATGAGAGCTGGGAATGGGATGTCCAATTGAGGCCAAGGCATCCACAGTAATGAGGATTTTCAACAAATAATCAGAGACAGATTGAGACTCCAGAGTTAGGGCACGCAATTCTACACGCAATTGGCGTGCACGTGCACGAGTTTGCTTCTGGAAATAATTGAATAAACGATCCCAGAGTTGATAGGAATGAGAGCATCCAAGGACACGCGACAGAATTTCGCACGAAAGAGTTTATTGAAGCCAAGACAGAAGCAATTGATCTTTCTGAAGCCACATTGAATATGCAGGATTAATCATACCTTGACGACGAGCATCATCATCCACAAATTTAGAAGGAATTCGAGTGCACACCGCGAGATCTGTGAGATTGTGCGCGTTGATGTAGGGTTCCACCTGTTGACGCCAGAGGTAGAAGTTTTTCTCATCGAGTTTGTGCGCAATTTTGAGCGAGAAATGGAGACGACGCGTTTCATCAGTCGTCACTGTGAACGGTGAGGTTTGCACCGTGACGTTAGCGGAAGATGACGATCCCGATGACGTCATGGATCGAAAACGGCTAAGCTGATATCATGATAGAAGGAATAGAAAGCATAGAAGAACTTTTCATTTCTGTTATTGTTGTGTAAAAGTTAGTTACAAAAGTTACACACAGTTGCATTTATAGGACAACTTGTGTGACCTGCTACAATAGGTAAGTTACTACACTAGACTTGACAAATGTCAGTCACAAACAAAACCAAAACAAAACTAATATTTCTATCTTTTGATCTTACTCTAATATAGGGTAAAAGATCGATAAGTAATATTTGAGGCTTCAGATCAAATAAAGTATCATTCAAGCTTGTTAGAAATTGAATAACTTGATCTTAAGTTTGTAATATTGAGCCAGTTGTAGAAAACACATCTACATCGTTGAATACATGTACAAATAGGTAAGGGTCAATGAGAATTGAGTTCTCCCCATAAATTTTTCTATTCAAGAAATTATTCCAGGATAGATCTTGAATTTTGCTTAAGGTTGTTAATAGAGGAACAAAGAGTTGCAATTCGAACCCGGTCAATCTTTGAGAATATTTTATAAAGGTCATTCCATACATCTAAAGCATTTTTATGAATACTATAGTAGAATAAATTTGAATAGAAACGGAATTAATAAACCACGAGTGAATGAAATGATTACATCTTTCCTAATGAGCATGATTCAAATCATTAGTAGCAATAGTTTAAATGGATCCATCTATGAACTTAAGCTTGTTCTTGGCTCCTAAAACTCATTTCATAGACCTGCTATAATCAAAATAGTTTGAACCATCTAACTTTAGATTAACATTGACTGTATTTAGATCTTCAGTAGAATGAATTTAATAAGCTGATTCAGTATCAATTTGGTGAATTTGAAGTGCTGCACGCAAAGGCATGTTTGATCGATGAAAATGATGAAACATAAATTGCAGATCAAGAACAAATTATAAACAAGCAAGAACAAAATATGAATGATCAAGAGAGAAATTCATTGGTTTTTCCTGATGTGATTTTAAGAAACCAAAATGAACAATATAATAGCAGTCTTCTTATTAGATTGGATCATTTACAATGATCCATTATATACAATGATGACTTGCATCCTAAGTTATCGTAGGTATGCATCCTAAGTTATATTTTTTGATATCCAAACATAAGTTTAATTTCAAACTGTCAGATAAATTTATAAAAAATATATATAATGATGATTAGTGATCATTATTAGTTGTTGAAAAATTCAATCTCAATTAAACTATAAAGACTTACAATATATGCAGCATCAGCATTAATATTAAACAATAGTTGTATGAATAGCATATCCAACTAAAATAATTATACAAAGAGTTCCCAATCATGTATATTGCAAAGTGTCTAGGGTAGCTCCTATATCTGCCAATTGCCCTTTGACTCTATACACCTTTTCCATGCCATATTGGTATTTTTCCCATCTAAAGATTATTTTTCTTGCAATTATATAACTCCCTAACTGAGTGGATTTAAAGCATATGCACATCAATGGAGAGAAATCCTACTCCTCCATGTCTTAGTAGTGTCCCAATTGTATTTTTACAGAATCATGACATGAGATCATGACCAATGTTCTGAATGTATATACAAGAATAAAACATAATGTAACAACAATTGTACATGGTTTTTACAAAGTGCACATTTTAGAGACTATGCACTGAAACCTCCTTGCAGAGAACTCCAGGGGTTAGCAGGAATACTGGCACAAGCTTGTGCTGAGGCCTCGGCCATCTGCTCATTCGGTATTCCTGCATTGCAGATGTTTGCAAAAGACCTCATATGTTTCATACCATACTGAGATAGGGATCCACAATGTGTCTCAAAAGTCTTCACCTGAAATCAAAAAACATATTAAAGGTGAAAACAATTCCTCACATACCGAGGCGTACAAAAAATTGTTTTGTTGTAATCAACAAAATAATGCCGAATTCGTGTTCAAGTCCAACCATGTTTGTGTTTGTTGTTAAGAAATACGGATAGATGAAGCTGAATAATTGGAAGCAGTACCATGGTTTTGAGGCAGTCCCAGTTATCAACGAGTGGTGATCCAGCAGGTCTAACAGCGTCGAACAGTTCAGTACCCTTTTCAATGCCAAATAAGAGCTTCCCAATCAGTTTCACACTGTTGTCTATATGCTTCCTGTGAGACATTGCTTCCAAAACTTGTTTCTCAGCTTCGTTTTTCCGCGCAGAACCCTCGGGTGCTTTACGGAACTGCCAATGAACACCAAAAATACTCAATATATCTGGTTACTAGATCTCACACTCTTGCATCGCAATGTCAATTACAATGTGGATGTATACACATTACGTTTAACTGAAATACGCGAATATGAGAGATATTAAACATAAAGAGTAAACATTGTATAAAAAGAATACCTTTTCCCAGAAATGGATGAGATCAGCATCCCTTTGGTTGACTGCGGTTGAAGGTGTTCTCAATTTCAAGGAGTTTTCAGTTTCATCCACAAAGGACGTATTATCATTAGCAGGATTTGTACCCAAATATATGTAGAGATGATTATTGCTAAGACCTACATCACCATATTCCATCACATGAGATCCATAGTACACTCCATTAATAGTCCTATCCTTAACCTGTCACAACATGACCGAAAAAGGCATCAATTATCAAACTCCTAAAGTTTTTCATGCATAATTAAGAAACCAAGGTATAGAATTATATTCTTCAAATCATATCAGTTGAGTTAAAACAAATCAAATAAGTTAGCAACAAGAACTTACCATTTTATATTGCTGTTGCAAACTTTCAGTTCTCAAATTGTGTGCGTCACTGTTCACAAGTGAAAGAAAAATTAGATCATTCATTAAAAATAATTATCTGATCTAATGCAAAACAACATAAACAAGAATAATCAAAACACAATAGTCACAAGCACTGAACTACTCCATGGTGATTATATGGTCATGATAAAGTAATGCATTAAAATAATCTTATTTGTGATCTAATTTGGCCTTCTAATGCTCATACCTGTCTTCCATCCAAGCAACACTGTATAGGTCACCCAAGCATGTTGAGTACTCTGGGGGTGGGGGAGAGTAGTCCCCAGGGCAATATGTTCCCCAACTGCTTTCTTCCGCATTTGAAGCCGTTGTCGCATAGATATTGAGATCTTCTGGAAGAAGACCTTCAAAGATACTCCCAGATTCACATGCCTCTAGATAAAATACCTGCACCACCATTAGATAAATCAAAAAATTAGGATTAGCTTAGTTTGTTTTTAACCAATAGGTTTATGAGAGCTTTTCACAAACAAATTATTTAGCAAGAAATAATCAAATCCAAACATGCAAGAACAAAACAGAACAAACGGGGATTGAAATAAAAGGAACACAAAAATGATAAGGGAATTTTAAAAAAACACACAAAATTGACAATTACTAGTGACTTACTAGGCTCTTATATGTTCCAGAAGCATGCTTTTTCTTCAAGACTTCATTCAGATCAGATGCGTACAAGTAAGGACCAACAGGCATACCTGAAGCAACCACAGAGCACAAATTCCATATGAGAGAGGTTTAGTTTGACACTAACATGATCATGCAAATGAACACAAATCAACCAAACAACGGTAACAAACAAACACACTATCTGTAATTAACAGTCTCAAACAAGGTTTATACCATGCTGAAACTCATACAAACAATCTGTGAAACACTAATATAAACGCAACACTAACACATCAACATCAATAATAATCTGAAAAAATAGAAATAATTGAATATAATCAAATGAATTGCCCAATATTAATATCTCTTGCAATCCATGTCTTCCATAAAAAAAGTTTATACAAAAAGAATCGAGAATTACTCACCAAGAACCCCTGGACCACCATGATCAGTGTAGTATACAAAAATATGATCATTGGGACCACTATCCACAACTTTCCCACTCCCACCTGTAAGAGCTGATTTATTTCCAAGTAAAGCAGCATAGAAATTGTCCGCATGTACTTCTTCACCAGTATAATCCTATCATAGAAAAAAAACTTCTTATTACAAGATTATCAAACATGACATAGCAAACACGCCTAAAAATCTACCAAACCCTAAGATAGGCTCGGGCACCAGACATAACTCTGACAATGGTAATAGTTATGGTCAACAACATGTATCCGACAGACACGCCTTCAATCTGAAACATTAGTACTAGATTCCTGAAAACTAAGCACAACTTTACCTTTGGAACTCCTGCATACACATCATCCCCATCAGGTTTGTTAATTATGACACCAGGCCTTGGATTCTCTTCATTGGAAGCAATATCATCATACATGAAAACAATAATATTTTCTTCCTTCAAACCACCTTTCCTCAGTAATTGATACGCATGACAAACATCAGCCTGATGAACCAACAACAAAAACTCAACATTAAAACTAAACACCTAAATTCAAACACAAAATTAAGTCTAAACTAAAACACGCTATTGATAATTTGCAAATTAGTCCTCATACAGTTAACTATTTTCCTTTTGGTCCTCAGTACATAGATAGATATAGATTTGAAGAATTGTATGTGAGTATGTGCACCTGATGTCTATAATTCCAGTAACCATTAGAACCGGCGAGTAGAATCGCCCACCTAGTTCCCTGAACGTTGTCATCGTTTTCAGGTTCACGGAAGAATCTGGAGGTTTGAGAAGGCAATCGGAGATAGTCTCCGGGGAGGTCACGGCCAGCGGAGACGACGGCGAGGAAGGTGAAAAAGAGAAGAGTGGAGAGTTGAGAAAAGTCCATGATTGAAGGAGAATGAATGAGTGAAGGGGAAGTGAAAGAAAAGAAGATTTAAATAATAAAAGGTAGTGCAAGTAGCGTATGAAGTTGGATATGTAATATGATCGTGATATCCGGTTATTTCGTTACCTTACGTATGCATTTTATTTTTATTTTAATGTGAATGTCGACAAAAATTAAATGTACGATACTCCATCTATTATGTTTATTTAAGATAAGAATGCTTGGATTTGTATTGGGGCTCGAAAATGGGGAAGATTAAGTTGGGGGATAGTTATGCTATGTTGTCTAATTTATCAAAAATAAAATAAAAAATAGGTGGATTTTATTTGGACTAAAATAGATAGATTCTTGCAACATCCCATCCCATCTCAAATCAACTTTTTCATTTTGTACTTAAACTCTAAATGGGTTCTATTTTTGAACTTCCTCTCATCATTATTATAAGTAAAAATTCTTTTTTTAAGTTCATTAAATAGTTAATATATCTGATCTATATGGAGGTTAGATATATCAACTATTTAATGAACTTAAAAAAAAAATCTTTGTTTATAATATGACCGGAGGGAGTATATTACAAGGCAATGCAAGACTTGTACATTTTATTTGCGAGTGTATCCAAATTTAAAATATTTGTAATTGTGTTGATAGAAGTCTTGCTCTACTATGCAACATTTATTTTAGGGAAATATTTTTTTGAACATCCAAAACATCATAGGTAATGTATTCTATGAATCATAATATGTGTAGTTAATTGCATTGGTTGCATAATATGAATAAAATTTATCATGATAAATGAGGAAACTTAAGAGAATACTAGGTAAATGACTTAGAAAGATGATTTAGGATGTGAAATGGGTTATATAATGATGTTTGGGCGTGATTGTATTGCAGTGTAACAGACAAGTAGTCATGTGATTGGTGAAAGAACATGCTTTGTATGGAACATGTGTGACTATATATGTAATGAATGGATCATGTTATGATGCCATGAGAATTGGTGGTTATGAATATCTAGTGATTGATGAGAGTAATTACGAATATATGATAATTAATCGCGTATTCGGATAGTTTGTGCACATACCATTCGAGAAGCTTATATAAAGCAAGAATGAGTGTTGTATCCCAAAATTTGCCCTCTCACTTATCAAGAATTTCTTCACAAGATCTCTTTGACTCAAGACTGGATTAGAGACCAGCTTAAGACACATCCTCATGCACTGATGACCAAAATTAGGGTTTGAGTTTGCACAAGGATTTTTGGACTGTCAATGCTTCATATGACTTTCAAGGATCATTATGGACCCCCAAGATTACTCATGCCAAGTTTCAAGTCTTGAATCACACTTTTGATCAGTCAATTGGACAGTTGACCTGAAAATCAATTGTATTGGGGAAAAAGTCAATCATGGCCAATTTTCAGTCAAACTTCATAATTTTTTATCCACATCAACATCTTAGACTCATATGTATCATTTGATCAAGTTTGGACCATAATTCCCCAAGAAATTTGATCAAATCATCAAAAGGGCAAAATGGTCAAAATTAGGGTTTTGACTAAGAAGGGGCAATTTCTGATTTTTGACCTAGAAAATGATCAATTGGTTTGAAGCATGATTTCAAGAGTTCAATCGCATAATCTTGACCTAATGACATGATTCAAAACATTACAAATTCATTGGATTGACAGATGAACTTTTCAGTCAACTGATCAAAAGTCAACTGTATACTGAAAAGTCAAACTTTGACTTTTTGGTCAAATTCAAGTGTCAAGGATCACAATTCATCAAAACATGTCAAAATGTGAAACTTGTTCATCAATAAATCAATAATTGAAGATCTTGCTTTGAAATTCGAAATTTCTTAACTTAGAAAATTTTCTAAGTATAGAAAATTTCTTATTTTTTCTCAACTTTAGGCCAAATTTTCACCATGATACAAAATGATTTAAAGGAAGTTCCAAACATGAAAGTTGTAGATATTCATGAAATCTACAACTTTTCTTCACATAATTTCTCCTAAAGATGCTTGGATCTCAAGATATAATTTTGTGAATACATGCTCATGAACTAAAATAACTTAGTGAAATTTTGCCCTAGTTAGGCAGGTTTTTGACCTAACTTCATGGCAACCTTTCACCTAGTTCCAAGAGGAATTTTAAAAATCATTTCAAAGATGGGTTGTATATCATATTACAAGCTTTCCAAAATTTCTAAGAACTCCTTGAGATCATTCTTGAGTAGGGATAATCGAAGAGATGAAGTTAGGATTTTATCACTTTGATTATAGGTCATTTTCATGAAAAACAAATTTTCAAATTTGCAACTTGGTTGTACAATCTTCACTTTTCAAGCCTCAAACTCGTTTGTCACTCCACCATTAATGGATTGCACAAGGTTTCATGCCCTAAAGCCAAGCATTTAATGCATTGTACAAGAAAATAGTCATTTTTGGAAGAAAGGCAACATTGCCATTTTGGAAAGCATGCTTTTTGCATTTTTCCATTTCTTGAGCCTTGGACTTGTTCTTTCTGCACAAACCAAGCCGTTAAACCTGAACAAAACGTGTTTAAAGCTTCAAGCCATCCTACAAGATCAGAATCATGCCTTAAGAAGTCACTTCTCACACTTGCTTCAAAAACAAGAAATGTAGCAAGACATGTGATCTTGTACTTCTGAGCAAGCACAAGTCCTCCAACCTGTTGCTCTATATAAAGCCATCATTTTGCAACTAAAACCACAGATGCCCAATCCTTGAAACACTCTAGAATCAAAAGTTGCATACCAAGCCTCAAAACTTGCCATTTCTGACTTGTGAACTGAATCTTCCATTTCACTCGTGCGTTTTCAGGCCCTTTGCTTTCCCAAGCTTCCTTATCTTACAAGTAAACCATCCCACACCCTAAAACATCACTGTAACTCCATCTTCCCCATTGTTGAAGTTCAAAAATAGAGCAACACAGGTGGACTTCTCCAGACCATTCCAGCCACCCTTAAGACAAGCTAAGCATTGCATTAGCTTCCTAGAGGTTCAAGGAAGCTAACCTGATCATCACAGCATCCTAAAGCAAGCTCATTTTCAAAACATGATTTCCATTTTCAAGGTGAGTTTTCTATTTTTCTAACTCTTAATATAGGCATAGTTAGCTTTCCATTTGTGAATATAGAATGTAGACATCATTGCTACGAAGCTGTACATATCCATAGCTTGCATTTATTTGGCTTGGGTTTATAGAATTTTAAGTTTGAATTTTCTGAAAAAATTAGGTTAAGAATTAGGGCCAACAAAGTTCCCTCTGATCTTGGACTTATAGTTTTAGTTATGCACATGGTTAGAATCGTGAGATAAAATACTATAATGTTCATGTTATCACTTTCCATTTTCGTTGAGAAATGAAAAAGTTACAGGGGGTCCGGCTGGCTAGAGGTTGAAGATGAAGTACAGGGCAAGGCAATGTTTTATGTTATGTATTTTAATTTTCATTTAAACTAACGGATGTACAGCCACCCCAGTGGTAAGGCAGCGCGCGTAAATGCCATAGGTCATGGGTTCGAGCCTTGGCGCTGCCTTTTGCAATTCTTCACATTTATCCAGTTTTTTTTGCTTGTTTGGCAGCGTGGGCTTCTGAACTTATGGGCTTTGTTTTTTTTCTAACCTCCTACCCCTGTTTGCTTGCAGCACCCCTGGCCCATATATTTTTATTATTTATTTTATTTTCATTTCTATTTTATAAAATATATTTTCCTTAATATAAAAAATCATAAAAAATATAAATATGCTAAATTTATATTTTGGTTCATTTTATTTATTTTTCTCATAGAAAATATTTTATTTTAGTTACATATCATATTTTTTTTAATAAACTTGTAAATTAAATTATAACTAGTTTGATATATATATATATATATATATATATATATATATATATATATATATATATATATATATATATATATATATATATATATATATATATATATATATATATATATATATATATATATATATATATATATATATATATATATATATATATATATATATATATATATATATATATATATATATATATATATATATATATATTATTTTAATACAAAAAGACCAAAATACCTCATAAATATCATATATTATTTTTCAAGACAAAAAATGCAAAAATACTTACTTTTTCTCAAAGAAATTTATTCCCTTTTGATAAAATAGAATTAGGGTTTAATCAAAATCCTTTCTAAAAATAATTTTTTTCTCAATTAATTTGAGTTTAATCTTGATTTATTTATTAGGTTTAGGTTAAAACTTTTTTTCACATAAAAAACCAAACAAAATCTTCTTTGCATTCATACATGTTTGCATATTTAATTTATCTTGTATATTACTTATTCTAATATTTGTACATATTCAATTTGGTTGTAATAGCTTAATTAGGTTTATATTATTGCAAATCCCCATTCATAATTTGTATTCCCCCCTCCCACAAAATTTGTAATAGCTTAGAACATTTAAATTTCACAATTTATCGCCTTTTATATAACATGCTAGTAATTAGGGTTTGTATGGCAAGATAAAATCAATCAAATAAAAAACCCTAATCCAAGACAAAATCAAGCATGAAAATGACACATTTGCACACAAGCACCTCTAGGGTTACTCTATTTGGTTGCCTTATACAAAATGGCCATATTACGCATGTAAGGTGTCTTAGCAAAAACAAACAAATATAAGATCATAGTCCCTCGATGACGCTATTCAAAGTTGCCTTACAAAATGATCTTAGTCCCTCAAAAATGCTAATATACTTTGCAAAATTGCTAATCATGGCTATACGATGACCCACGCCCGTCCCGTTTACATCCAAAAATAGGGTTGCTTACCAAATCAATGGTAAGACAACTGTTGTACCCCAAAAATTTGCCCACTCATATTATCAAGATTTTCCTCACAAGATCTCCTTGGACCCAAGACAAGATTAGGGTTTGCTCAGCTCAAGACATCTCCTTGCACTG